TCATTTATGAAGAAACTCGAAATGGTTTGTTCACAACACTTATGCGTCCATTAGTTGTCCGTGAATAACAATAATAAGTCTCTAGTTATTATAAACGAACAAGACCAGGGTGCTTGGTATAAGCTGTGACATTGACAGACACACATCTCAGGATTATGTCTCACGTTCGTATAGACACTCCATAGATTTATACTATATAAATGTTGATGGAAGAAAAAAAGGCGAGGATAGTACCGGGATGTTAGTACTCAGAAAGTTGTAAGAGTTTACACAGGAAGAAACATAGGTACTTTGATTAGTGGGCAAAATTCACACTGGTTACTAATACCACAGTCGACTGAAACAAAAGAATATGCAGAAAAACTAGAGAAACACAAAACAACGGGTTGCGAAATGTATCTGGGTGGAATAGATACAGAAATTGAAGGTGAGGCTGAGGTAAGAAACTGGAGGGCTCACCGACAGATCCGAGAATGTAAGTGTACACCACTGGTGTAGGCGACCAGTGTGGTTAATCGAGTGCCTACTCCCAACATACTTCTAAGTCACACCTAGCGATCAGCAGTTTCTTCATTTCAAAGCACCATGGCTGCTTCGATGACCGTATAGCACAAACGTTATTACAGAAATGTATCAGTAGGAAAATGCCATTACGGAGTTAAAAATCCGGAAGCTAAATGGCGAAGCGAACCTTACTATTAAAGGTTTTCGGTTGTTCAGTCCTTGGAAGCCAGTGCTTCCGAGATCTGTACGGGTAGAATAAATAATTCTCAAAACACCCTAAACGTCTTCGAAATAAAACGTCCGACCATTATTCAGTGTGCACTTGTACAATGTATCGTGCAACAGACAAATATTGACTCGGAACATAATTTGTCATTGCTGAACCTTGTCCTCACACACCACTGTGACGATGTCACCTTACCGCGCTAGCGAATAGTACTCACGTTGTACTTTTTTTTCGTACATATCGTATACACTATGTATCTGCTCCACGACGTCCCAAAACCTGGTGAGCTAATATTCCGGCAGCCAGAGACTGTGCTGTCTCGACTGACTGGTCGGTCGATGCAGATGTTTCGATCGAAGACGAATGGAATAAGTTTAAGCTACATTCGAGTACGTAACATCACCGTTTATATCATGGTCAACTCGTAAGCTATCACAGAGCCCTCCACTGATTAATGAGGAAGCCCAAACGCTGTTGAAGCGTAGAAAACACTTATGGGACTTATTCTTATCAACAGGATACGAATCATTTATGTCTGAGTATTAAGAAATCCGAGATATATGTTAAAAGATCATATATAGATGCCGTATTATTTACTAAAGACACTTGGAATATGGTAGCTGTACTTCTCCGAGACGATTGTTTTCGTAAGTTAAAAAGAAGAACGAAACATAGTGATGGTATCCCCTCATTACTGTTACACGAAAATTCAGATTTACTAGCTGAGAATTCATCAAAATATTTTGGTGAACTCTACTTCACATGTATTGCCAAAAATAATTGTCCTAATTATACCCAGATACCAGCCATAGGACCTGTACTTGTAACTGCGAAAACTGTTTTTCCACTGCTCAATAGCCTCAAACCCGGTAGAATACCAAACCCTGGAAAGATGCTATAGTCAGTATTACATTTAAGGATGGTCAGAGAATTATCGTATCAAACTGCCGGCCTGTCAATCTAATCAACACAGGTGTTAAGTTGCTTAAAAAGATAATTCGGGTTATAGAACTAAATCACATAGATTCATACAATTGGTACATTTAAAAGGATATGCTAGACACATACTGGAAGGCAAACTGTCAGGATTCATACAGGTCCGACAACCTACTCTCCTTATTACTGAAAAAGTGAAACTTAATGAAATAAAAAGTAAACACGAATAATGAAAAACTGACAAGTTGTATTTTAACCACAAGATTCTCCTTCTAATAACTTAAGTTTGCTCAATACAAAAGTTTAGACAGAACTAAATTGTTTATCTAACTCAGTAAAATTACTTCTGTCCTCACATAACAACACACAGTTTTGAATTGTGTGCGAGTATGAGTAGGATAAAATATGCGACAGACGTGGAGAAATCAGTCATAACAAGTAATTTTGAAGCGCGTGGCTGGACACTTGTTCATCCTGATGAGGACTGGAATATTTTCTGGGCTTCTGTTCAAAGCATACGCATGCTCTTCAGCAATGAAACATCATATAGATTATCAGACAGCCAGGTTTTATCGATAAATAAATTCCGCTAACTAGTTCAGATAGTAAACCACTTCCCAAACCATTTTGAACTTACCAGAAAAGATCTAATGGTCAGAAATATTAAAAGGTACAGACGCGAACTAGAGAAGGAGGGAAACCCGTTGGCTGTAAAAGATGATAATGGGAAGTATTTCTTCTTGGATTTTATACCGGTCACTTATATGCTACCACAGGATTATAACCTATTTGCAGAGGAGTTTAAACGCAACCCTTCTTCTACATGGATAATGAAGCCTAGCGGAAAAGCCCGCGGAGTCGGTATTTTTCTGATTAATAAACTCTCTCAACTCAAGCGGTGGTCTAGAGATGGAAAATCTGGTTTAATTGGTGCAACACCAACTTGCAGAGATTCTTATGTTATATCAAGGTATATTGAGAACCCACTATTAATTGGAGGTAAGAAGTTTGACCTGCGCCTTTATGTCCTTGTTACTTCGTTCAGGCCTCTCAGGACATACGTGTATAAGCTGGGGTTCTGCAGGTTTTGCACAGTTAAGTATAATTCAGATGTTAGTGAGCTAGATAATATGTTTGTTCACCTAACAAACGTTTCAATACAGAAGCATGGAGCGCACTATAACAGTATTCATGGTGGTAAATGGACAACAGAGAATTTTCGCTTATGGTTGCAGGGAACGAAAGGAAAGTCCATCTCAGACAAGCTATTTGATGAGATTCATTGGATAATAGTACATTCCCTGAAAGCAGTCGCAAGTGTGATGATTAACGACAGACACTGCTTTGAGTGTTATGGTTACGATATCATAATTGACGACAATTTTAAGCCATGGCTTGTGGAGGTAAATGCATCTCCGTCACTGTCAGCTACAACGGCTAGTGACCGTATTTTAAAATACAAGTTAGTAAACGACGTTATTAATATCGTTTTACCTAAAGGAACAGTTCCAGACGTCAAATCTAATAAAAATGTCACTAAAGAACAAATGGGACAGTTTGACCTACTTTACGATGAGGAAAAGGCATTAGAAGAATCATCTGCAGCTACAAATGTCCAACCACCAAGACAACATTCAAGTTCCTCTGGAAACGTTCCCAGTAATTCTTCTCAAAATGGACTGAGAACAAAACGTGAAAGTCGATTGAGCATACAAAGAAGTTCTTCTACTAAGTGAGATGTAATAAAAGTAGTACGTGTATTAAGCTGAGTTTTACATCCCCCCTTATTAACTGATATACTATTACTGGTTTCCAACTTCGAAACATCAAAAGAAACCTGAGGATTCACAACAACTCTTGTAGAACTGGAATTATACTATGAATTTTTACTGCTAAGGTTAAACTCGTCCAAATAGAGTTTATATGAATCTGAAAATTCATCTATTGTAAATCGCTACCGCACAATAAAGCTGTTAGAATACTAAAACCTTTTAATTCCAGAATTAAGATATGTTTATGTATTGCAAACTAGTAAACAAGTTATGACCTCCAATAATGACTTCAGAAATTTACTAAACTTGTCAGATAGTGTACAATCGTACGTTTGAAGTCAGGGTTATACATTACAGAGAGCAGAAAATTAACTTCAAAAGGCAATCTGTTATACCGAACACTTTGACTCAATTTTAATATCATCTCTCAAGAACCTAATTAAGTAAATTATTGGGAAGTCTCAAAACACTAAACAAGTACCTCTTACTGAATTCCAATTGTGAGGCTAACTAAATCCAAATAAGTGAACAGGGGTTTATTAGTTTTATGTAGTAATATTTGAAGAAATACTATGAAGACTGTCTCGGACTGAGAGGTTTAAGCTAATTTATAAACTACTTTGAAACACGATAAAGAACAACAAATTAGTTACTTATGTAAAATACTTGTGCTTAGTATTTAATACGGTAGGTTTATATAATACTCCCTGTAAAACATAGTTTGGTCCACAAAATAAACAAATCTAGTAATTAAAAATTAACTTCCTACATATAAATAATATCAATTATAAGAGTATATCTTAGACACCTGGTAGTAAGGTTTAACATCTGCCTCAATAAAGTCACATCGTTACACTGGAGACAATAGGAACATCATGTATTTCATTCCATACTACGTCTATATGAGTATATACCTTGATAGGCGACTCATATGTATAGGAATGGGGGATTACAGTAAGCATTTACATCTAATACCTTCAGTCTTGTAACAATCATGAACCACTGCCGCTCTAGTGCGGGGAAAATTACGCATGTACACCTGTATTCCCAATGTTGGTACATTTTTAAATCAGTCACTACCGCCAGTATTACTTCTAATTATTTGAAAGTTTGAGTTTCGACTTCCCTCGAAGTTTCTGTCAATATGAGAAGACTATTGAAACATTTAGTGGTCAAGAGACATGTGATATGTCAATAGTTCTTAATTCTCAATAATAGAGACTAGACCAAAATCTTAATACTGTATAATTTTTTTACGGATAAAAGCATGGTCTTTCTGTCTTTATCACTTTCATTCAGACGCACTTTGAGAATTTAAATACTTAATGTGTATTCAACCTCAATCAAATAAAAATATATAACAGAAGCAATGAGAGCTATCGATCTGAGTTTCTGTGGGTGCAGACGTTCATTCGAGTCCACAGAAAAGTCCTCTTGATGAGCACCATCAAATAGAAATACGACAAACAATACAGAGATTCTCCTTAGTCTTATAACGAACCAAACTAGACTAGCTAATTCATGCTACAAACCTGGAGAACGAAAAGCACCAAAGGGTTATATACAATAAAGTTATTGACTATGTCTTGACTAATAATAACTTGAGTCTATGATATCATAACTAAATGCTCTCGGATATATAATGAGAAAATTAAAGGGTTTTGTGATTTATAAAAACTTAGAAAGATAAATGATTATCCCAGAGAATTTCATGACAGACAAAAGTGTAACAAATGTCGAGTAAATTACAATAAACAAGGTACATACAAAGTTAGTTTTGCCACCTTTTAGTAACTTTAAAGGCTGGTCCATGACCTGGAACAATGTAGTCAAAGTTATCGATAATGAATTCCCGGCTTTTTTGTTGTATGCTTACATTGTTACTAGATGAATGCCACAAAGATGGGTCAATAGTATCTTGCTCACATTCAAACAAGTCACCCACTATGGCAACACGACCGAATTGATCAACATCCTCTACAATGACTGATATGTCTGACAAAGTGTGCCCAGGTGTAGATATTATGTGAACGAAGGAGTCGATCTCATAAGGCGTTTTGAGAATACTGAAGCAATCTTTAAGACCTTGAACTTCGAAATTCTCTCCCACAATCCGAGTAGAGTTTGGGAATATATGTAGACTTCCAATATGATCGACGTGATCATGTGTACAAACAACAAAATCGATATCATAAGGATTTACTCCACGAGATGAGAGCTGAGAAAGGAGCCATTGCGAATCCCATGGACTACCAGGGTCAACAAGAATCAATTTAGGTCCTCTTAGTAATGATATCGTACATGCAGAACTGAAGTAGTGATCTGAAATACGCCTTGTCCAGCCAATACGAATAAATTCAATCGAGTACTTCATTGAATGTGATGAATGACTATAAACAGATGACTACAATTCACCACATGCAATCTGATGTATTGGCTGAAAGTCAAAGAATAAAGAAACGTCTACTGTAATGATATTTATTATATGTGCTTACAATAAAGAAAATACATTATGCCGAAGAATGATGAAAAGATGTTAACTTAGTTGCATTGATTAAAAATTTTACTTGGGAAGTAAATACCTATGTAAACATTGAGATGACACAGAAAGTAAAATACATGTTAACAGTAGCCCTGTCTGTCAAACATGTTCACCAAAGTTTTGTGGAGGTTAATATGCATTATACACTTAACGAAAGAAAGAATGATTTGTTTACAAATGAGTTTGATACAAAAGAAGAGAATACGGCATTTTAAAATAATACTTTATAGCATCTCTTGAACGAAGCAAAAAGGAAAGTAGAATAAGTGTCGTTAGATTTGTTTTCAAGATCATGTTAACAATAGACGAATTATCTAACCTTAGAAGCGATTAACTAATATCACCTCTACATACATTTCGTTTACACAGACAGCTCATTTCAATATATTACATTTACCATTTTTATTTTATGTGGCAACGATGAATATGCATCACCGATAGACATTAATAAAGTAGCTAGAATAAAACACACCTACGCTTTAATATCCGACAGATAAGAATTTAGTTGATACTCCCATTAAAATCTGTAATCTATCGGTTATTCTAGCTGTTTAAAAACGTAGGATTTATACACACTACTTACACTTTAATCCAACAGTGAGTAGTCTTAACGACCAAGACCGTGAATTGACTTAGTTATGTTCAGCTTTTTCAGAATCATGTCGACTATAATCAACGTATTACTCAAGGTAGACGATAACTTATTACGTAGTCAGGGAAACTCAACTGGGGTTTAAGGCCTCGTGAAGCGACTCACTACATTTAACAGTTATTTAAAACCTGACAATTGTATTGAAGACTGCATAGTTCGGCTATTTACAAACAGTACTCAGAAGGTACGTACGAACAAATACCTAAGATGTATTAGTGTCATATTATGCACGCGGAATTTGAAAAACAAATCCCAAAGATCCCCAAGTTATGCCACTTCACTATTCCAGGTCTATCACAGCCTCAAATAGTTAGAGAAGCAACCTTAATGTTCTAATCATGTGTGACAGAATCATTGGATTACATTGGTCGAAGTGTCCCAAATAAGCTTTCGGTTTACACTTGAACCATTTCCTTCATCGATAGTCCAACCACCACGATATCCGAGCCAGGGAACTTTTCAGATCAAAATTAATTGCAACTATTACAGCAAGCGAATTTGAAATTGTATCTGGAATATTAAGGGCTTGGTCGTTCGATCGCTAAACTAAACATAAACCAGTCCCACATAGTGAATGGTGTGATATGAAAAGGCGTGTATCCAACAAGTATTGGGTTCCCAATATATCAATAATTCCAACTAAAAATCTATCATAATTGCTTGCTGCAATGAGTGATAATAAAGAAATGAGAAGTGTCGTTCGGTACTTTTTTCTACTTCTTACAACTATTTGTCTTTATAAGTAACCCTTATTGGCATTCTCACAACTCTACGGCAGCGATCGTATCGTAACGAGATGAAATAGTTTCTTTAGTAAACACGAAATGATAAAAGTGGAAATTTTATTGAGTTTCCGGATAACATATTTTATAACTCATTTATACTCGGCAAAGTATTAACAGATATACCAAAGTAAAACAAACGCAAAGCGGTCCCACCAACTGAGACTATAGTACAGAAAAAATACAACTAAAATAGGAAGATGATACAATGAGTAGAGATATGAGGTTTCTGAAGATTTATGTGTGGTCAGAAAATCTTAAGTATTTTTCTAAATAATAGTTTATTTAACTTATTGTAGTGAGTGAAAAACAAATCGTAGTTCATGATTACTCGAATTTATCAGGAACGTCGATGAGGCATTCGATCATAAGGCTTTAAATAAGAATGAAATACGTAATGTTTGTGACATTTTACATAAAGGAAACTCATCTACTTGTTTTCATACATAATAACTGGATGCAAACTCTTGTTGCCAGCTAAGATTTTTTAAAACTCCACTGAACCAATCATAATGTTTGGATTTCACCACATTTTGAAACTAGAATACATATACCTCCAAAATCCTAGTCATTAAATAAGGAAGATAAAGTTACATTAAGGAAAACAGAGACACTAGCATTCCAGACTGATTTTCGTAATTTTTTAGCAGTGGACTGTTATGAAAAGTTAGTGCGATACAATAAACGATAGAAGCATAATTTACTGATTAAATTTACATTCGCTTTAATAAAGTCGTTAGATTTTTCTGTATACATTGTGTTTAGATCGAAATCCTTTAATTGCAAGAACATCCACAAGATAAGTGCATAGTATCAAGCTTGAATCCTACAAACAGTATCCGATGGCCCTCGTTTCAAACCCTCTGAACTAATAGCTGGTAAGCACACCATAATTCTCAGCAAAAGTCAGCTTTTAGTTGATCTACTCTACAAAGGACAATAGTAACGGATTAACTTATCCATTCACTTTCTTTTCAATAAATGGAAGCCAGTTCGTAATTATGTTAATTATCCTTAATAGAGAACTTATACACCAGTTTGGTAGGCATGGTTAATGTAGTGCAACATAAGCAATAATTTGAGGGTTATCAAGCTAGTAGTGCAATTGACAACGCGCCATGATGGAGAAAATATGAAAAACGTTGAAATAACACTACCCAAGTGTTGGACGAGAATGAGGCAAAGTTATCAATTAAGTACAACCGTTAAACCTCTAAAATAAGATACCTATTACAACTGCCATATGATATGTAATGTACATTCGATTTTAAGTGCAACGACGACATTTCGTATGTGAGCGAACGAAAAAACCAAATCAAATAAGGAAGCGTACAATATCAGCAATACAGCTATAAGGAGTTCTGCGGACTAAGTGGGATAAAACATCAGACATGTATGATAAGATTATAAAGTAACATAGATGGGACATAGATAAAATCAGTAAAATTGCAACCAGTTGCATATCCGTGGATATGACCGACGTGGTCATGAGCAACTGATGAACTAACTAATGACAACCATAGTGCACTTGACCGGGTTATATTTGATATGATTAAAAGCTGAGACACTGTGTGTGGTGCTAAGTTAGATAGTTTGAACAGACCCATTTAATAAACTTATAAAACTATGAAATGCTAAAATGTAATTATTATTATACTAATGGATGTTTGATGTATAAGCAGCTCGACGGAGGAAAACACCTTGCCACTAAACATTGACATGGATGTGGCTGAGACACAGGCTGGGAGTAGCCATGTCAAATATCCCGAATTCCGGTTGTTCGACAGTGTTGCCTCGCCGATTGCCAAGTAGGTTTCTTTACTTTGTAGATGTTAATCAAGTAGTTTGACACAATAAGATACGTCACCATCAACGTTCGAATCTAGGCGTGTAGGCAGTGCGTTGGCAGCCGAGTCATCTGTACAATCAAGTGAAGTTTTACAGATTTGATAGACTGAATACCATGTTGCAGAACATACCGTCGGGTATTTCTGACCTGAGTGTAAATATGAAGCAGCTACTGTCAGTTCGATGAGCGCGAACATCCTCGGAAATTCGATTGTGGACTATCAAGTCAACAGTTCCCTTTGTCATTTGAAGAGGAACTAGGGACGTTGGATGCTCGTCTGCGACAGAAAGACATAAGGGACAGATTTGTAATTCAACAACATTAATTTGATCACTTGTTCTTATTACAGATGGCCATGTCGACGCGGTTAATGGATGATAATCCTAAAACGTCAATGCGATATATTTTATCGCACATAATGACAGCTGAAGTTGCCAGTCATTTCACACTACTTGGCACTTCAAAAGTGCAGGTTTTACGACTGCATGCGAAGTTATATATATATATATATATATATATATATATATATATATAAACTTCAGGTGGATTTACTAATCGGTTCCTGTCATCACCTGTCAACGAAAAAGACCTTGCGAAACAGTGCGACATCGCGACGCAAGGTTATTTTCACGGCATGTGAGATAAACTACCAACGAGTCATCAAAGAAAACAGGAACATGCACCTACTAACTCGAATTGACAACTGTTCTCTACTGTTCTATAGGTACAGTTTTCAGTGTTAACTAACATAACCGTAAGTAAAGCTTCACGTAGCTAGTTGTGTAAAAATAAATTGTCATTTGCATATCGTTATGACCTCTTTGAATTTCAGAATTCACACGATTACTTTGATTCTCAACAGTCGAACAGGCACTACGAACAGCAATAGCCAGTGGAATTTTCGTAACGCTTAACTTCGTTCTCAATAAACATTATTTAAATCATGCTCTTACTTTCTCATTTACATGGGAAACCCTTTGACTAAAATTAACATACATAACGATCGATGCTCTAGCATCTGCTAACTACCCCGAATGTTGTACAATATGACGTACGTCGTATTATTAATTAGGCACGTGTACTAAATTTCAAGTGCATTTAAATCAAAACAGGCTTTCTCAACACTCAGTCCAAGGGTTTCCCATACAAGTAAGAGCATCAGAGAATCACACATATTGAATATCATCCAAACCTTGTACATTATTTAACTGAGCCTTTGCTTTTGACCGTAAGCCTCCTCATACTTAGTACTGTGCCTCATTTCTGGCCAGCGACATATGTTACCGACTGTTACACAGCACTTTTGAAATACCGGCCATTACTCGAACAGTTCCAATACTTGTAAAAGGAATAGAAGAGACTTTCACTCACTGCGCTTCCAATATCGCAAACTTTTGCATTTGATTCTTTCAATATCTGTTTGCTTCCGCGTAATCGGTAATATCTAACTAGTGATAATCTGATCATTTCGTTGCACTAGTTCTAGTCAGTTTCATAGATATTTATGAAATTTTATGTTTTGTAATCCATGTGGGTGCATTTGTCTCAGAAAAGTAGGGTTTCTATATACCAGGGGCTATCAAATTACCAGTCAGGAGGTTGGTTGTTTGCATTGTGAAAAATAATGAATTGAAGTTCGAGTGATACGAGAAGACGATTGTTTCAGGAAAGAAATAAATAGTGGACAAGGCAGAGGCCTAGAAATGAAAGCGAAGGCTGAGATGATAATGAACGAAACGGGAATCAGTTACCGAACAGATGGTGGTTTGAAGTAGTCTACAAGAGACCCTGGACTCGGGTTCCGTGCTACTTGGCACTCGTCAGCAAGGTGTATGTGTAATCTTGGGGGAACTGGTGCTCCCTAAAGGATTCGATCCCGCGTCACCCAGCTTCACAACCAGAGACGTTACCACTGAGCTATCCGGGCCGCCACCGACCTCCTGTACGACTGAGATGTATTTACAATTGATTGATCACTGGATGGTGATCAATGTTATGTATGTCAAGTCCTTCTTGGTGAAGATCGAATGCTATCGACCAAGTTGCAATGTGGCAACTAATCTAGGTGACTCGACACTGCGCGCACTATGTCGAATCTGTCAGGGAGTATCAGTTCCCTCAAGATTACATGTACACCTTGCTGACGACTGCCATATACTACGAAACCTAGGTTCATGGTTGCCTGTTGACTACCTCCAAACACCATCTAAC